GTTCTGTGAGGAGAATGGAATAGAACATGAGGTCACTGCTCCATATACTCCTCAGCACAACGGTCTCGCTGAAAGAAGAAACATAACTTTGCTTGATATGACCAGAAGTATGCTGAAAGAAAAGAAGTTACCTCACATGTTATGGGGAGAAGCTGTTGCCACATCAGCATATGTTCTGAATAGGTGTCCAACGAAGAAGCTAAAGGAAATTATTCCTTTAGAAAAATGGACTGGAGACAAGCAAAGTGTTAGCCATCTGAAGGTATTTGGTTTTGTGTGCTACAAACACATTCCAGAGGCTAGAAGACGAAAACTGGATGATAGAAGCAAAATAATGTTACTGGTGGGATACCACAGTACAGGTGCCTACAAGCTTTATTGTCCAGAAACCAACAAAGTTGAAATCAGCAGAGACATCGTTGTGAAAGAGTCAGAAACATGGGATTGGAACAAGCTTCAATCAGATTCTGGTGTAGTGCCAACACCAGGGTTAGTTTCTGAAGACGAGTCAGAGTCAGAAGAAGAAGACTCTGAAGATGAGTCAGAATCTCAGGGAGATTCTGATAGTGGATCTGATTCTGATCCATATTCTGATGATGATCCAGATTCTGGTGGTGATTATATTTCTGGAAGGGAAAACTCTGAAGACATGGGGTCTGGAGAACAAGTTTTCAGAAGTAACTCTGAAGGTGGTAACTCTGAAGGAAGTAGTTTTGGATAAGGCTCAGAAGCTAGTATTGTTCCGAATTCTGGAGAAGCTTCAGAACAAGATCAGAGGCCACAGAGAATCAGACGAATACCAAGTAAGTTTACAGATTTTAGCATGTTACATGATACTGAAGTAGATTTTGAAGGAGAAATCGTTCAGTGTGCCATGCTAGTAGATTCTGAACTAGTGGGTATTGAAGAAGCGCTCAAGAAGAAAGTGTGGCTGAATGCCATGAAAGAAGAACTTGAGGCTATTGAAAGAAACAAGACTTGGAAGCTGACAGAACTTCCAAAAGGCAAGAAAGCCATCAGCGTCAGATGGGTTTTCAAGCAGAAGCTAAAGCCAGATGGATCAATTGGCAAACATAAAGCGAGACTAGTGGCCAGAGGTTTTCTTCAGAAACCTGGACTAGATTACTTTGAGGTATTTGCGCCTGTAGCTAGACACGAAACAATCAGACTGGTGATTGCTTTAGCTGCAAACAGAAATTGGCCTTTGATACATTTGGATGTGAAGTCTGCATTTCTGAATGGTCCATTACAGGAAGAAGTTTATGTGTCACAACCTCCTGGATTTGTGAAAAAGAATCAGGAAGGGATGGTATACAGGTTAAATAAAGCTCTGTATGGACTGAAGCAAGCGCCCAGAGCTTGGAATCTTAAGATTGATTCGTTTTTCAAGGAACAAGGGTTTCAGAAGTGTGAGATGGAGTATGGTGTTTACGTTCAGCACACTTCAGAAGGTAATATGATTCTGGTCTGTTTGTATGTTGATGACATATTACTCACAGGAAGTTCTGAACAAGAAACAGCTGAGTTCAAGAAAGTTCTGATGGATGAGTTTGAGATGACAGATCTTGGAAAAATGAGTTTCTTTCTAGGGATGGAACTTATATACTCTGAGAAAGGAATCATTTTGCATCAGAAGAAGTATGAACTAGAGCTTCTGAAGAGATTTGAGCTAGCAAATTGCAAAGTTGCTATCACACCTGCTGATACGAATCAGAAGTTAGACTCTGATTCTGATGGAGAGGATGTGGATGCTACAACCTTCAAACAGATGGTTGGTTCTCTGAGGTATTTGTGTAATACCAGACCTGATATTTGTTATGCAGTTGGAATGGTCAGCAGATACATGAGCAAACCAAAGTGGTCTCATTACCAAGCTGCTGTCAGGATTCTGAGGTATATAAAAGGAACTCTGAAATATGGAGTGTTGTTTCCTTCTGGAGGAAAGATCAAATCAGAACTTCTGAGTTATTCTGATTCTGATTGGTGTGGAGACAGAGTTGACAGAAGAAGCACTTCTGGGTACTTATTCAAGTTTCTGAGAGGTCCAATCTCTTGGTGTTCCAAGAAACAACCTGTTGTGGCTTTGTCAACATGTGAAGCGGAATACATTGTAGGTGCTGTAGCTGCTTGTCAAGCAGTCTGGCTTCTGAATCTGCTGCATGATCTGAAGGTTGAAGTTGAGGAACCTCTGAAGCTGATGATTGATAATAAGTCTGCAATTAATCTTGCAAAGAATCCAGTGCTACATGGCAGAAGGAAGCACATTGAGACGAAGTATCACTTTCTCAGAAGTCAAGTGCAGAAAGGAGTGTTAGAAGTTCTGCACTGTAGCACTCAGAAGCAGCTGGCAGATGTTCTGACAAAGGCAATAAAAATAGACCAATTTCTGCGCTTGAGAGATGAAATTGGTGTTGTTAACTTCTGATAAATTACTAAATTACGGGATGGTATTAGAGAGTAATTTAGTATTTTGTTATTTGTAGATAAGTATTGATTAGGGCCTATGTGGCATTCTTATTTGTGTATAAATAGGTGTACTAGGTTTACATTTATATCAATCAATTCTTCAATCATTTGCTGTCAGCTTTTAGGCATTTATTCCTTCCTTCTTCTTCCTCAAATTCATCACCTTGCACTAACATTATGAAGTTAAATGCATTACATATCATGGTTCCATTGTTAAATATTGGTTCTAACATTTCTCTATTTGTAATTTCTACCTGCTTGTTGTAACAATTTCTCATCATTAATTTTTTAACGTATGCGGATTTTTACAAAGATGATACTATTTATAAAGGCCTACCATCACAAACATAATTTTGAAGTGGTTTACGTTGTCACGGGTTAATGAAGTCTTATCACAAACACAATTTCGAAGTGGTTTACGCCATCATGGGTTAATGAAGAAGCCTTATCACAAACACAATTTGTTTTCATAAATAAGACAAAAATGTCATTGAAATACTTCCTGCCATTCAACTGAATTTTCATTTTTCTTTCCTCAATTACTATCGGATGAGCTTCAGACTCTCGATTTTATAAAACTAAGTTGATTATAACTTGATGTGAGATCGTTGGCGCTGACAATTTTTTTTATTGTTGCTCTTGTCGTTGTTTTCTTTACATTGGTTATCTTTCAATTTGTGTTCTCTATTGGTTATTATCGGTTTTATCAATTTTGGATTCCGATTCATTTTTTGAGAGGTTCTGCATTTGATGAGTTAATGTAATTAATACGACCTTTATGAATTGTTTCTATTCGAACTTCTCAATTATGAAAATGTTGAATTGTGGTAGTGGTCACGTTAGATAAAACAAAAGGACATATATCATTTGAAGACTTGCAAGTAAAAGAAGCATAATCCTGCTGATATTTTGTTTTGTTTTGTTAGTTAGATAGAGTCTCCTTATAAAGATTTATAATCAAATTTAATTTTTTTAATACAACAATTAATATATCTATATATGGACTAAATTAAAAAAAAAAAATCAAATTTACTTATGGAGGGAGTATATCCCACTCTCCAATTTCTTTTCTTTAGTTTATATAATTATATATGTTTTTATCTTTATCTCTCCATATTGCATAAATATTTGCAACTTTGATTGATTCTCACAATAGTAATATCAAATAAGTTATTTATTGCAAAGTGAAAAAGTGAACCTGTAATGACATATATACCAAGAAAAAATGAGAGGTTCTATGGTTGTGGGACTCATTAAATCAGATCATCTTGAAGCAATTCATTTCATTTTTTACTTCAATGGTGCAATTTTAAAGAATTTATATTAGGTCCCACAATTTTATTTTGTATATTAATATTTTATTCATACTAAATTTTATTTGATTTAAAATAATAATTTAAATTATTTAAATTTAAATAAATATAAAATAAATAAAATTAAAATTAAACATAAAATTTAAAATGATAATTAAAATTAATCTCAAATACATGACATATAATTAAAAACAATAAAATGATAATGAGAAGAAATTGTTGGAAAAAAATTAAAAATTTATGAATAAAATGATGAAATTGTGAGAGAGAAATTTGAAATTAAAGAGTAAATAAAAGTGAGAGAAAATATGATTGGTATACAATTTTCCAACAAACCTATCTTTATAATAAATAAAAAAAGTTTTAAAAAAAAATAAAAAAATAAAATCGTTGCACAACAGCTAATTAATTATTTTAATAATAAAAAAATATAAAGAGCCGTTGCTTATATTTGTACCGTTCACCAGCTGAAACAACTTTTTTGTTGATAATTTCAATATCAAGCTGGCAAACCAATCTGAAAAATCACCGACGGAGGTGGTAGGTCAATGAGTTCATAATTCATTGTGCACTACTATGTATGCTCTCCTATAAAATTTAGCTTTCATGCTTTTTTTTTTTTTTTTTTTTTTTTTTTTTTTTACTTTTAAGTCTTTAAATGTTATATGTTCTTTTGCTTGCCGTTACTACCGATATTATTCACGACTCCCTTGAACATTCATTTTGTATATTTTCTTCATTACTTATATCTGTTCAATACTTGTGTAATTCTGCTTGATAGTTTTTTAATCTCTTACTAAAATTTATACAATTAAAATAATAATTAAAATATAAGAATAAATATTAGTGATTTAAATACGGAAAAAAATATTTATCACTTATTAAAATTTATACAATTAAAATAATCGTTGAACAAATATGTGACAATCAAAATAGTGATTATGTTTTATATTTTTTTCTCATGTTTGTAATTATGTTGATATTTTATCATGTTATGTTTTTTAAAAATTTTAATGAATCAAATTTTTATCGATATTATTTTTATATACGAAAAAAACAATTACTATCAGCCACATACTTATTGTTAGAGTAAGTTGTATATTCCGATATGTTGCCGGAGTAGAGTAATTGCGGTGGGGTGGGGCCACTCCGAAATCCATAACGTTCGAACAGCCGCCAGTCGCGGCGGTGGCTGGTTACTCTCAGTTAACTACAAAAGCAATGACTAAACGGCAACCAATCTTCACGGCGGCGACAGGAAACACACCTCCTACTCCGGCCATTACTTCCACCAACCAAAGAGAAAAACGCCGCGAAACTCCAACCACGATACTTTCCCTCGACGGCGACATCCTCTGTACCATCTTCGCTTTCCTCAACATGTTCGACCTCGTTCGCTGCTCTCTCGTTTGCAAATTCTGGTATATTTTGTCTTTCGTTTTCTATTCTATTGCAATTTCAACAAAACAATACCTAATTTGCTTTTTCGATGAAGGAATGCAATCCTTGAGTCTCGATCGCTGCGAGAGTTTTACGAGAGGAAGTTGCTGATGGATTCTTCTAGTTCATCTGGATTTACTAAAAAGTCATTGAGAGTGATTTTAGGGGAAGTAGCTTTGGAGCAGCATAGATTGGCGCTTCAGTGTGGAACATTTCATGTTGATCAGTGGAAGGGTCATTCAACCGCGTAATTTATTAACTCTCACTTGTAATTCAGTAATAATGCTGGATCAATAGTTCAATACTCTGATTGTTTTATCATTTGCTCGTTTTTTTTTTGTACTTCTGTCTGATAGATGATAAGTACCGACCATATAAACATTTAGGCTGTATATTGATCGATGTTTGACCTTTGCCTTTCAATTCAGGGTTTCTCAGTGTCGGTTGAAAATGGGTACGGTTGTTACTGGTGTGGGAGATAAGGTGCGTGCGTACACAGTATTATTATATTGCCTTTATTTCCAATTTCTCATTCTTAAAGCACCCTTTCCTGAGGGCTAGCATAAACAAGCTGCTAGTTTTATTGTCAATCAGATCTATAGTAGATTAGGAACTGCTTTGTTGTTTGACTAAATTTGAATGATCTACTTTAAACTCTCGCTCAAGTCATGCTTATCATGTACCAAGTATGATTAATAAGTTTAAGACATGGTAGTCGTGAAACATAAAAAACACATCTTTATACATATACAGTACACCTCTTCACAAGACAATATCTAATGATCTTTCAGTGTCTGAGTAATTTTATTCTGTATGAAGCAGTGAATTAACAATCATATATGTTTTAAAAAAAATACAACCCTGTAGAATAATCAGTAATCACATTAGTTAATTATTCACCAATTCCATAAATGAATCTGACAATTTTCAAGTATCTAGTTTTTTTGTAAGTATTACCAATTATAAGATATGATTGAATTTTAAATTCAGTTGAACTATTGGGATTGTTTCTACGTGTTGATTTGTGTGGAATCATTGTTAATAGTTAAAAAGATGAAGATGCATTGTGTACAAGAATAAATAATTTAACAACATATAATTTATAGCATCATTGGGTGGATTGGGGTCATGTTTAGCTCCTTCTTGGGTCCTAATAGTTTAGAATATGATGGAATGTTGGATTGCTGGAAGGAGGTTTCTCATTTGGAGATGGTATGGATCTGGTTAAGGCCTGTTTTTCTAGTATTCGAATGCACTGTCTTTCCCTGTGTATGATTATTATATAAGCAGTTCACCAAATAAGGATCATCACATGAGATTTCTTGTTGCTGGGAATTGCTGCAGCCTAGGAGGGATTCTTTGGTTAGATAGCTTAACTTTAAGCTTAGAAAGGAGCGAGAATCGGCTTTCTTTATTTGGTCCCTAAAAACGTTGCTTGTCTATCATATTACAGTGTTTTATGTGCCCTTCAAGACAATGCTTCTTGATCTGTTATTTGTAGATATGCAGGAGATATTTCTAATTGCGACATGTCTTGGTACTTTTTGTGGTTTGTAGGTAGAATTTATTTAGGCTATTTGTAGCTTTATGGTTATCAAGGTAAGTGGGATTTATCTGACATTAATTGTAGGGATCTTGCAGCTATTTATTTTGGTTGAACATAGAAAAGACAAATGATTCAAAGGGTCAAAAACTCATTGCTAAGGATTTAAAGCACTTTCTTGCAGTTCTTGTTTCTATTGCCTTTTCTTTGGAGGCTGGAGAAAATTTCATCAATAGATTCTTTAAATATCTAATATGAATTTTTATTCTGTTTCTGGAAGTGTGCACATTCTCTATATGAGTATGTTAATCTTTCTAAATGAGCATTGCTATTAAAAACAGTGTATTTTCCTGATATATTGTTATCATATATACCTTTTATTGCTCTTTTATTTTTATTGTTTTTAATGCGGCATTGTTACTAACTATTGCCTTGGCATTATGGTAGGTTATTCGTCTCTGGTCATTAGATCGCTATAAATGTGAAGAGCAATACCCGGTACCTGATACGCTACCTCTAGTTGACTTCGATTTTGACGAGAGCAAGGTCAGTGATTGAATGAATGTTTTATGGACTTAATCTTGTCCAGTATAAGTATAAGGAATTTGACAATTGATATCATAGTAAACATTATGATACCTCCTATTTAAAATATAGTGAAAAGCTTTTATTAGGAATGAGAAACCTTAAATAGTTTGATTAATTAATTCACATTCTACAAAACGTTATTAATCAGTGTAAGTGTAAAAGTTTGGCTCTTGGTTTCAATTGATCATATCCCTAGCAGTGTTGTCAATAGCTGAAGGTCAAATATCCTCCATATAAACACACCACTATGGCCTATGGCAGTCATTCTTTCACAAATTGGCTATGGAAGTAGTAAAAATATTTGCCACCCCATTCCACCGTGGCACCCCCATTGAACAACTCTTATCCCTAGAGATACCACATACGTAGACAGTCTGATATGTATATATCAGGTGTCGAACATAACATACTTACACTTTCAACAACTTGCTGTAAAATGAAAATTTAATTTTGTTTAAATTGCTATGGATTCTAACTGTGCTGTTAGTCAGCTGTAGGCTGATGTTAATCTGGTGTATCTTTTCATTTGTGCTATCAATTCCGTAAAAATTGTTGTCAGTTCAAGTTTGTTAAAGTTCATAACTTGCCGAAGTTTTGCATGCTTTATGATTTAAATCTTTTTAAATATTCATTTGTAGATTGTTGGTCTAATTGGAAGTCGTTTGTGCATATGGAGGCGGAATGGGAAAAGAAGTGTATTTCCTTCTCTTGAAGGCAAATTCATAACAGGTTCATGCATGCGGTAAACAAAAACAAAGCTCTTTCTCGGGTTTATTTAAAATTCTGTTTCATTAGGAAGTCAGAATCTTGTTTACTTAGCTGGCATGAAGTTAAAAGTTTATCTAAGTTGAGTTTCATAAGGCAGTCTATTGCGCTGAACTTCACTTGTGAAATACTACATTCTCGAATTTTCTGTTCTGTTCTACTCCTGTTATTTTTCTATAATTACTATTAAAAAGATTAACATTTGCAATAACTACAAAAAAAAGAGTCTAAATTCTTACTTGAGTTCTAGTGATACTATTACAGTTGTTAATTAATTATATTATATTGTAATAATTTTTGTAAGATCACATAGCCTGTGCGAAGATCGTGTATTTTACAATCTTACACCCTCTCCCTCTCCTAGATAGGATCTTGATTTTGACCTGAATTTTATTTTCTCCCTTGTTATGTACTTGCAGTTACTTTGATCCAGAAGCTATGGTTGGATTTGATGATGGGGCTGTTCGTGTTTTTGACATGTACAGTAGGAGGTGTTCTCAAATAATAAGGTATCTATCTGTTTTTTTTTTCTGTTCTATTATTAAGTTTATTATGAAAAAGAACACAAATTGCATATTGTGTAAAATCATTATTCTCATTTTTATTGGTGGGTTCATTTGTATTGCTTGAGAATAACTGGTAAATGTCGTCCAACATTTATAATGTTTAAAAAATGTTATCTGCAGAATGCATTCTGCACCTATAACTTGTTTATGTTTAAGTGAAGATCAACTGATACTAAGTGGCTCCACTTCAGGGAATATAACAATATCAGATCCTTCTTCTGCTCAGAAAGTAGCAAGACTTAGATCAAGTGATTTTAGAGGTAATAGTTTATCCCTTTTAGTTGATAATGTGGTTAGCATGATTGCATTCAAGATATCCAACATAATCATATGAATCAAATTAAGTTTTTTATTAGCATCATCCATTCCTTTCAGAGTAACATGAATGACCCTTGTTTTGTTTTTGTTGCTTTATTTTTCTCTCCCTCTTTCTTTATTAATATATTTAATTATTTATTGCTTTGTGGACATGAACGAGTTTATGGTTTGTGAAAAATAGTGTTTCTCAAATCTCAATCTTCTGATCACTTGGACCGAAAAGATCTACATTCTGAACCATGTTTTGGGGGAGTTTATTTGAGAGGGAATTTTGTTTATGAAGAAGAGAGAAGAGTTAGTTCTCAATTTTGATATAAATCACTCACGGTTTTCTATGTGGGTTTGGTTTGGTTAGTTTTGTGATCGGATTCACTTTTCTTTAGCAGTCAATCAAATCAAAACTTACAAAACCAAACCAGTTCAATAGAGTAGTTCAGATATTGTTCTAAGTGGTTTGGTTTAAGGCACCCCTAAAGGCGAGAACTATGCAAACTGTTACAGGTTTGACCACGCAGGGTAATGTTTGTGTAGTCAAACCTGAGATGCTTTAATATAATGGAGCCATATTATACAGGCTCAAATTCAAAGTTAGTTTCTCATTTCACCAGTGCTAGGTTAGCACTTCTCCTGTGTCTTCTATGCTATGCGGTTCTACAGATATACTACAGTTCTTTTTTTGTGGCACTTTCATCGAAGTGAAGTTTATATGCCTTTATTTTCTTTGGTGGAGTACTGTTTGACAAAATGATCTTTATTACATGTTTGAAATATTATTTTTGCATGATATATGGTTCCATTATCAGTTTGACTACAGCAAGTGAAAATCTTAATTAATGTCTTGTTTTCCTCGCAGGCATAAAGACGCTGTGTTTAAAACCCTCATCTCAGCTACTGTTTGCCGGATCAGCTATTGGGTATACATATTGTTGGGACATGAGGTATGCTTGCAATAATGTATTAATTTATTAAAGTCTATTGCTAGGGTGCATCACCATAAGGAATTTCTAAACAAATTAAGACTAATACAATAAAGCATGTCATATAGTTCCCAAGGTTTTAAATCGTAGTTGCGCTACAATTCTTGATATTGCAAAGAATTGTTGTCAAATGCTATTGATGCGCCCACATTCGTTGTCACAAAGAAGGCACTTCATGCATAAACCATTAGTCATCCATTTTCACTTGATCAGTGCGAGTTTTTATCTATTTCATTGTTCATATACGTAATCTTGTTTTTTTGCATCATGCAGGACAAGGAGACTGTTATGGGAGAAACGAGTGAGTCCTAATGTCATTTACTCTATACAGCACATGCAAGATGACAAATCGACATTGGCTGTTGGAGGAATAGATGGTATCTTAAGATTTGTAAATCAGAATGATGGCAATATTGTTTCAAGTTGTATTATAGATGATAAATTGTTGTCAACACATCGAAGTCATTCAGGCTCCATCCAAAGAAGGGAGGGGAAGAGATTGCCTGAGGATACCTACATAAATATTGATGTCATTCCGAAGAATTCCCGACCTTCGATTACGTGCCTTGCCGTTGGAATGAAGAAGATTGTTACCACACACAATGCCAGAGACATCAGATTGTGGAAATTGAAAGACAAAAATATCTGTACATTGTAAAATCAAGAATTTATGATCTATTTATTTGTTTACTCTTTGGGAATTGGGATTATATAATTGTAACAAAAACAGCCACTCTTGTATAATCAGTATATGCATTTTTGTTTAGCTATAACTGTTGTCTAGAGTCAAGTTTAGGAGTGTTCACATCAAAATCCTAAATCAATAAAATAAAAAATTGAAACCGGCACAAATTCGAAAATTGTTTGATTTGGATATGCTTTTGTGAAAAGGATTCGGATTGTAATACTTATATTTTTTTCTTAGTATTATATATTTCTTCCTTCCTAAATTATAATAGAAAAAAATATATTTTTCTTGTTTTAAAATATAAGAGAAAAAAAATATCTTTTATCTCTTTCAAAATAAAATTAAATGTAAACATTTAATTTATTTTTTCTTTTATCATTTTTATAACCAACAATTAATTAGAGTTATTTTTATATCTTTTTAAACACTTTATTTCAAAAAAATTATAAGTCAAATGATTATATTTTTATTTTTTTTAATAAATGATTTTTATTTTTTTCTCTTATATATTGATACAATGATACAGAGGGAGTATTGTTTTAATTTATTATTTGTTGCATTTTAATAGATACTACTTACAAATCAATCCAATAAATGTTCCTAAAATACATTGGATGTATATATTTAATATATACAGAGGGAGTATTGTTTTAATTTATTATTTGTTGCATTTTAATAGATACTACTTACAAATCAATCCAATAAATGTTCCTAAAATATATTGGATGTATATATTTAATAATTGACGTGCTTTTATTATCTCACTATTGAAGGAGTTGTGCGTTCGTATGGGTCGCATATTAATATAAATATTAAAAAATATTATATTGTTTAGTTAAGAAATATATATAAAAATATATATGAATAAAGATAAAAAAATATTTCAATGATAATTGTCATATAAATATTAATTTAATTTATCAAATTGTAATAGTTGTTAGGATATACATAAAAATTATATTGAAAAATATATGAGTAGCACGCATACACGCACATACACACGCACGCACACACACACACACATACACATATATAATCGATTATCTATCTGTGTGTTCGCATGTGTCGCGCAATATCGTTATAAATGATAAATAAATTATATATATATATATATATATATATATATATATATATATATATATATATATATATATATATATATATATATATATATATATATATATATATATATATATATATATATATATATATATATATATATATATATATATATATATATATATATATATATATATATATATATATAAAATAACCAAAAATAAGATTCAAATTAAAATTATGCTATAAAAATTATGATATAAAAATATTTGATAGTTACTCCTGTTTATAAAAATAACTTTATCAATAGTAGACATTTTCACATTTATAATAATATTTGCAATTTATTTCCGTTTATAAAAATAATTGTATCAATAAATTTTTCTCGTTTATAAAAATAATTATATCAATAGTAGATATTTTTTGGTTGATTCATGGTTGATTCATTCCATTTAAACTTGGAGTCAACACATGTTAATTTTTAGTTGACTCGTTCCATTTGAACTTGGAGTGAACACATGTTGATTAATAGTTGACTCATTCCATTTGAACTTAGAGTGAACACATGTTGATTCATAGTTGACTCATTTCATTTGAACTTTGAATCAACACATGTTGATTCATGGTTGACTCATTTCATTTGAACTTGAAGTCAACACATATTGATCTATGGTTGACTCATTCCATTTGAACTTGGAGTCAACACATGTTGATTCATAGTTGACTCATTCCATTTGAATTTGAAATCAAACACATTTTGATTAATATTTGAACTTGCAGTCAAGATATGTTGATTCATGGTTGACTCATTCCATTTGAACTTGAACTTAACGCATGTCGATTCATAATTAACTCATTCCATTTGAATTTAGAGTCAAACATATTGATTCATGATTGACTCATTTCATTAGAACTTGAAATCAACACATCTTGATATATAGCCCAAGTCTTAAAACTCTTTCTTGATACAAGGAGTGTGGGTGATGTGAGCTAAGAGCCTCGAGGTGCTCTTTTTTCGAACAAAGGGGCATAATTCTAAAGACATTTTGATGTCAAAGCAAGGCATAGTGTGAACAAGTAGCAAGTGAGGGAGTTGAGTAATGTCATGACCCATATAAGATTTGAACAAATACTTCAATTGTAAAAAATTTATTTGAGTATAGTGTTTTATGCTTGTACCATTGCAATACTCAAATTACAATTTTAGTAACAAAAATTAATTATAAATTTTAAAATATTATTTTTCAATTTAATTAAAAAATTTATTAAACACAATCAGATATTTTTACTTAAAATTTAGAAGATACACATAATTTTAGCATTTATGACACAATCCATTATATTAAATATTATTGATTTCATTATAAAAAAAATGATATATTAACAAAAAAATAATAATACTAAAAAAAGTGGAGATTTATTAGTTTCTGAAAGAAATGATGTGATACAATTTTGTTTTTCAAAAAAAAAAAACTTTTACTTTAAAAGAACATGACAATTTATTCTTATCTTATTTACTTTTTATTTGATGGATTGATTAAGAAAATAAATTGAAATAAAAAAGTAAAGTTAGAGAAAATGAATAGAAAATTTAGTAGTTTGGTATAGAAAAGATGAAAATAAAAAAAATTGTTAATAAAGAAAAATTTCAAAAAAAAAATAGACATAATAAAAAGCTAAAAATTAAAATTTTGAATTGCATGATAATCAACTAAAAATTAAAAATATAAAAAGTCTTTAAGTTTAAAAAAATAAGAGATGTAATTGAAAATAATTTTACACTAATTAATGATAATAGTATATTTCTCTAAATCACACGTATCCTTTAAATACTTCATTTTTCTAATTTATTAACTTATAAATATTATTCTTAGAGATTAATCTTTAAAAAATAGACATAATAAAAAGTTGGGTTAAATATGTTATAGGTCTATGTAAATATATCAAAATCTGATTTTACTTCCTCTAACATTTTTGTTCAAAGAATCGTTTCTATAAAGTTTTTCGTTTCTATTTTTCATCTTTGTCATCAATTCCACTTAACGGACGCAGATGTGGAATGTGTTGGCATTTTTATAAACAAATGGTCAACAACTAATTTCCACGTGTGTAATCAAATTACAAGTCAATATTTATTTCAATCTTTTTGTACCTCTACGCATGTTTCCTTCCTTCCCCTAATTTCTTGCCCTAATTCCTCTTCGTCTTCTTCATTTTTTCGTTGCAGGCCGAATCGACCTAAGTTAATCCGGCAAATCAAAACCGTCCTTCGTCTTCTTCATCTAAGGAACATTGATGTCGTATTCCAGAATTGGTGCTTCAAAATCCATGAACAGTTCGTCGTCTTTTGTGCAATGTAGACGAGGAAGGAAGTGTCGCTCTGAAGCACAAATGGTTTCATATATATGCAAGAACGCTCCAAATAAAAGCAGGCTCTTCTGGAGGTGCCCTTTTTGGCAGAGTGGAGATACTTGCGATTTATTTGTATGGGATGAAGATCTGGTTGAAGACGACGGTGTTGGTGTCGAACAGGTAGATGTCAACAAGCTAAAGGAACTGGAGATTGTTGAATTGCTGAGAGAGTTGTGTGAAGCTTCCAAGAAGGAGAACATGAAGCTGCAAGCGAAATTGATATCAGAGGCATGGACTGGAAAAATCAAGTTTATATGTTTTTTAGTTTCTCTTCTGATTAATGTGTACCTACTATGCAAATGTAATTGTTGAGATTATCAGTTATGAGCAATGTAATCACTATGTTATGGTGTAAGATTGTATGAGTAGTGTTCTGGACTGGCCCAACGACTAGAGTGGGCCCAGTCTGACCTCCTTCTTCGGCACGACTCGTGCGACCATAACCCGGGCTCCCCTGTCCTCTGTCCGACACCATCGATCATTTTCTCTCCTGGACCAGCACTGACCTACGATAATTAACGAGCGTCTCTCAGTCTGCCCGACCTCAAATCGGCGAAACAACCAGAAACCGACCCGACTGCTGCCCGTAACCTATCTCCTCCTCGGAACTAACGACTAGTTGCGGTCACACCTGCCCGATTTGACCAAGTTCTGACAGTTACCTATTTTTGCAGACCCGTATATCTAGGCCTAAAAATAGGGACCAATGACCAAGCCCCAAGGGCACTATATGAACCCTCACTCATGTGAGGGCCAAGTATCAAATATTGATTATTCATCACTAAAACCCTAATACTTTGCTTATATCTCTTTTTGCTCTCACACTTACTTGATCGTCGAAGTGCCTTGCAGGTACAACCCCTCTTTCTCCTTCACGACTTTCCAGCCCGTCTGAAGATCATTATCCGACCACCTTGCAGGTTTTGATCAACTGTTAAGATCAAATAGGTTCGTAATTGCAATGAATTTTTATGGTGTACTGACTAAGGAATTGTAACGATGTACTGAATAAGGAATTCTAATTGTATTAGTAAGTTTTTCAAAACTGATATATTTTGTACATAGTTTTGCATAGTTTGCATAAAGTAAGTTTTCAATCATGTGAAAGTCACTTATAAAATTGTACATAGTTTGTACCAAGTTGACATTTATAAAGCAGTGACATTATAGGTAAGCTAATTTGGAAGTCAACAAATTATTCTCAAAATGACATGATAACTTTATCATTAAAATATGTTATCCAAACAGACCCATTACATAAACTGAGATTGTACATTAACCAAAAATAACTAAGTTTGCAACTTAATACATCAATAAATTACAAGTATTTGCTCAAATTTTGCAGCATACATAGATTGCAACTTCATATCAATAAATTATACATAGTTTGCAACTCAAAAATACAACACAAAGATCAAAATAGGTAGGTTCCTCATTGAGTCAATTTTTTTTTTTGGATTTCATCCCAGCTTTTCATAACCTTCTTGACTGGTGGCTTT